GAGTTTTCTACATTCCTTTATCTCAGCTGTTTTGGGTGGCTCTCTGTTTCCAATAGAGTTTATTGCTGACTGTGAGTCCGAAAGTATCACCACTTTGGTGAATTTCGTATCCAGGCAACATAATTGGCATAGTGCTATCCTAATGGCCTCTATTTCTCCTTCAAAAGAGGATCTATTATGTCCCGCTGCTGCGTAGAAAGAGAAGAGTTCAGAATAGACACCTGCACCAACGTTTGCTTGGCTTTCTATGTATTACCCATCAGTAAAGACTTGGAGCCATTGATCTCCAGGATAGTTGACATTGATTGTCTCAAGGGCCAGTGAGCGCATTTGTTCTGGAGGGGTATTTGATTTCCTGAAGAAGTCAAGCAGTTGGTTGCAACACACTACCTCGGTGTCTGCTAATGGGTTCATGGAGAGAGAAAGGCTTTTTGGTTTGTCACCGATTTGTAATGCCTTCTTTAGTCCTATGACTTTCTGTATAAGACCAGATTGCGTAGAAAAAGAATATTTCAGAGTAAACGTTTGTTCGGTTTTCTACGTATGATCCATCAGTGAAGACTTAGAGCCATTGTTCTGCAGTATAGTTTACATGGATTATCTCAAGGGCTAATGAACGCATTTGATCTGGAGAGGTATCTGCTTTCCTGAAATGGTCAAGCGGTTGGGTGCAACACACTACACCAGTGTCTACTAATGGGTTCATGGGGAGAGAGGCTTTATGTTTTTTCAACAATTTATAATGCCTTCTACACTTCCATGGCTTTATGTATTTGACCAGATTGCGTTTTTAGGTGTCCAGGCCTAATGTCGTAAGTGCTGAAGAATTTATCTCTGGGAATGCGCAACAGCTCCTCATGTTGGATCAAGGACTCCTTTTTGATAAAGGAACGTATTGTGGTGTTCAGTGTAATCAGGAGCATTGCATCAATGGGTGTTGATTTTATCCCTCCAGTAATTAGTCAGAATGCCTGGTTGTGCGTCATATCGAATGGTTTAAGAAACAGCTCTGAAGCTGTAATGAGTGGCTCGAAGTAATACAGCATTATTGCTTGACCATGTATCTTGTAATTTGTGTTAAGAGTTGAGCCTGCACAGCCCCATATGCTTCCAGCGAGGCGCTTCAGTACGTTCAGTCTATTGAGACTCGTTCAGCTATTTTAGTAGTGTGACTTTACCGTGTTATTTTTGTGTCAAACGTCATCCTGAGATAAGTGAACTCNCACTACATCAGTAGTAGTTCATAGGTTTGTTAGATATAAATGAAGAGGTCTTTTAGAACTCATGAATACACATAAGGGAAAGAAATGCAAACCCATAGCCTCTTGATTGCATTGGTATTTTATATTGTCATGCTAGTGATGGCATCCGCAGCAACATGGAAGAGTAATGATAAGGTCGGTCAGCAGCAACTGGTTTCAATGATTCAAAATTCACCTATTGATGACTAGCAGCGACCTCAAACAATTTCTCATAAGCTTTCTTTGCTACTGCCGTAAAGGCGATGGCATTGGCAGCAAGATTGAAGATGGTTGAAACCGATAAAAATGAGATTGTAAGTCCACCTCTTGCATCAACAGAATCAACCAGTTCCGCCCTGTTGACAACAACCAGGAGCAAGTAGCAACTGTTTCGTCATGCCAAGTCGTTACTCCTTATTTAGCTATTTCGCCTTCTTCCTTCTGATTTCCTTTGTTTTCGTTTGAACTTCTAGTTTTCTCCCAAATCATAGTTGCATTGCTATATTCTACCACCGTTAAAGCGATGACATCGGAGGCAACATTGAGGAGCAGCATAGAATTTTCAAAAAATAAAAAAACAAAATGAATGTAGTGATGAAGAGTAATGGGGTCAGATACAGTTAAAAACACTTCAATTAATTAGTTTTATTTGAGAGACATCGTAATGTTAACTAAACTTTATAATGCCTCCGTGGCGACGGAAATAAATGCAGATTTCCAATAAACATTCCCGCTTAATCTTGAACAGTGAGTCATTTTAAAGCCTATTTTTTAAGTAGGGCTTTCTTTCTTATGCTTCTTACACATGCTTCCCTTCTACAACCAAAAAACAGGTAGTTATGCTCCAACTAATTTCAGAATCCTTACGATTATCTGCAAATGTATAACGATTCTCAACGATGTACGAGTGAAAATTATTTTATCGTGGTTTTCCATAGTAGTACTAAGGTAGTATTTGGTATAGACAGTTATAAATCACTTTAAATTCCCCTTGAATTGTGATATTACCAGTACGATCTCCCCCTATCTTCTTTTTGAATATCTATAATAGAAGCTGTCAACAGAAACATAAAGGTAGTGAAAAAAGACTGAGTATTAAAGGAGCGAACATTCAGACGCACATTAAACTACGTAAATAGAAAATGGCACCTGACAGGAGGGGCTTTCGTTTAATCCACCAGTGCAATTTGTGCTTGATTTACTATCCGAGATTCAAGTATATTGATATTAACACCATCTGAATGTCTTCGGTTTCATCACAACTGAATATGTTACTGTGGTACGTTATTGATGATTGAATTATTGTGACCGAAACAGCGACATAATGGAGTGATGAAAGGGGAGGATGAAGTGATTGTTTCCGGTGGAACGTCCCTATCGGCATCATTTCGTTCACTACAACCTGGGGCAATTGAGTCATCAAATGCAACACCTCCTAAATCACAGCCTTGAGAATTTGAGCCATCACCTTCGACACCACTATCTTTGCCCTCTTTTCCATTCTTTACAAGTTGTCTGCTGCTTCTCGATGATGCTTTCCATGCCATCGCAAACAGGGCAGTTCAATATAACAATGTAAACATGGGACAATGGGTTCCCATTTCTTTCCTCTATGCGTATTCATAAGTTCTAAAGGCCTCTCCTTTTATATCAAACAATCATGTGGGTCCCACTTTTGATGCGAATTTCGAATGAATGATTGGCTTTGATGACTTAACATACTTTGATCCACTCTCTATAATTGAATGTAATTCGTGAAACAAATTTTCCAGCTCTCATTAATTTGTTGAATTGGCATTCAAACCCAATTGCAGTCGTTTTCAATAACTTAAACAAACCGTTGTGTTTTAAGCCATTGAGTCGATATATTGCCTAGAATATTTGCGTCAAAATAGATTCCAATATTCATAGCGCCATTTGGATTTAATTGCAAAAGGTAATTTTGTAACTAAACAAAAATTATTTCAAATTTGTCATGGTTTTTTTGTGTAAAGCTTCAAGCCTATTTGCCCAACAAGAATGCATTGAGCAACACATAGCTCATTTGAAATAAGGACCTTTAAACATTTCCGTTGATGCAATATTTAGATTTCGCATTAACGTTACTTCACATAAGGTTTATATCCCTCTTTACGGTGTATCAAAGTTTTATTAGGAAAGTCGAAATAGGATTTATCGCTCATTAAATGGGCCCCCTATTTCAGTCTTGTGCACTATGTTTCATCTCTCTAGCACCATTAGCCACTGAAGAGTCTGTCATACTCCAACAAACCCGAGGCCAATAAATCGAATGGTCTCCCAGTCGGTAGTGAATGAATTAAAGATATAAAGGGTATCAAAAGTGTTCATTTATTGAAAAGATCTTGATATTCTTCTCTTCTAAACTTCTAATGTCCTATTTTCCTGCAAATTGACATGTTTTAAACAATTTACTCAATGCATTAACTAGAACATATACACTATGATAGGTTTAAATGTTCACAGTATCATTAAAATATATTTATAAAAGTGACTTTTTAAACTAAACAGTCAGTACTTTATATTTGTCATGAATTTTTCAGAAATGGTTTCAGCTTATCTGGTTTGATTGAAGAGCATATATCTCTTTCGAATAAAGGCCCTTCAGGACAATGTGACGATTGTCATTAATCTAATTGATTAACTCATTTGTATCTTCAATAAGTCAAATTTCAATGAAAATAAACTTGACTTATTGAAATGTGTGTGAAAAATTGAAATAATACGGAAGTTATATCTTATCTTGTAGAAATAACTGGAGACTGGAGAATTAGAGTATATTACTGATATAACTATGATATCCCAATGTAATATATGAATTAGAATGGCACAAAGTTTTGTAATTCTTTTCCCTAAATGTTAAAGTAGATGAATAAACCTGTGTGTAAGTGCATAGTGCACTCCTAGATAGATGGCTATGCTTAGTCCAGTTTTTGCATGCTGCACACAATTGCTTCTAATGGTTTAAGGCAAGTAGCAATTTGACTGGTTCAACGTGTTCAAAACTTGTAGCATCACCATCATCGATGCATTTTCTTGATTTTTTCCACTTATTGAATCCGTTGCGGTTCTTTCAAATTAAGTACTGCATAACTTAGAACTTTGTTTCTCTTGTAGCAGATTGCTACCTTAGTAAAGCCTGACTGACTCAGAAATCTCTGTGGCAGATTCTCCTACATCTAGCTAGACTCCCAGAACTAGCTAAGCTATAGCCCAGCTATGAAGGGAACAGACGTACAGCACGAAACACGTTTATTCAGTAAGTATCTTGTGAGCAAAGTGCTTAATCATGATCAGGATGGCGGATTAGGATAAACAAACAGTGGCTAATGATTGCTCACTGTTTGCACGGTCGCTGCACACAGAGTTGTACGGCCGCACCTCCGAATCATAGCGTGCAGGCATGCGATTACGCGTTAAGAGATGACGTGTCCAACACTCTTCAATAGTTATTTTTTATATTATTATGCCTCATTTTTGCGATCTCCGATTCGGACAACGCAAACATTACCAACAACCCAATGCCAGTTTAGATTTTTTCAATAAAATGCAGAGAAATTGGTGGAAATGAGTGCTATGGTGTCACTAACCTGTTGAATATATTCCGAATTCGGATGAGACAATATTTGTGCACAAATAATTAGGAGCCTTCACTCGATCATATGAGACAAATAACTCTCACTATCACTGCCATTGTCATCTTTGCAATTAATGTTGCATTTATTTTAATATTATCATATTTGAGGGCCATACATCAATTAAACAAGCATCGCATCACATTGATTGCGTCGTTGAGAGCAATTCCACGAATAGTAGTTTGCAATAATTATAAATGCATCTTCAATAAATATTTCATTTTTTAACATAAATTTTGATTTTCTGATCAAATTAAGTACTATAAACCTTCTTATAAAAGTTCACGCACTTTTTTGGAATGGCATTAATACAATTAAGGGATTATTACTAAATAATGTTTAATCAACAGTATTCTCAACTCCACCGAAAAATTCTCACACTGTAAAAACAAATTCAGAGAAATTTCATAGAGCAATCCAATTTATGCCATTATGAATGTAATCATGACATTTTACATTCGCCTCATCCTGTTGTGGTTTATGGCATGTGATGCGACCAATTAATATTAACGGACTGCACGTTTGAGTGTGGTATTCTACATCAAAACAGCTGTTAATCGCTGTCAGTAAAAATTCGTTTTTTTTGAAATTTTCATTAATCCCGACGTACACAATAACGAATTTCGAAACAATACTGCACATTGAAATGGTTAATTTAAGTTAATTTTAGAAGTTGAGAGGATTTTATTTGAAGTAAAACGATAATTTAAGATAGAAATATGTGATACTATTTCTACGAATGAGGGACATCATTAACAAATCCATTGAACGATTCCAAAAAGAACTAGACAAAACAAAACATTGGACAATAGTAGAATCAACATTCATGAACACTTTCGGGCATCTGGAGAAAAGATTGTCTTACCTGCAAAAATGGATCCAATTCGGCAGCCTAATCATTTGAACAAATAAAACGATAAATTAAAATTAAATGCGACTTAGCAACAAATATGAAAGAAATGAAAACTTCTAATAGACTGTCATCTAGAATTTGAACTATTTAAACTTTTATTCTGAAGTCATTGAATCTCCATTGGAAACCCACATCCTCATTAGGAATACGATTCCTCCTCTCTCCCCCCCCTCCATGATCTCAAATACCACTGAATTCAGACTTACCGCTGCTTGTTGTTGTCAGTGCCTCTGAAAAGAAAACACATTCGTCATGGATGTAATTTTACTTAGGTTGTTGGGCCCTTAGGCCTTATCATTTAAGATTGATAAAAATGCAAAAAACACGCACACATGACCAATTTATCTGAAAGAATTGTATATTACTTCCACATTCTCTTTTATCTTTTCTTGCGAAGTATAAAATTTCAGAGCATATGACATGGAAATGTGCAGATTGAACCTACTTCGGCATTCAATTACATCAGGCGATTCACCTAAAGGAAGCAGGTAACTTGAGTTGGTTCAATAAATTTAGAAGAGAGCTTATTAGGAAAGAAAATACCTCCTTTCGTCCAATAGACAGTAACCGCTACAGACGATTTGCTCGCTAAAAAATAAAAAGTCTGTAATTTCCTCATCTTTTTGTTGCTTGTACTCAAAAGTTTACTCTAGTTGACCTTTGGCCACATTATCAGTTAAGGTCCCTTGAGATGGAAAAAATAGAAATTGCAATTTGAAAATGTGACTATGATAATCCCAATCAACGCATTTCATATTTGCTCACTGCAATTTCCAGTATTTGACCCTGCATCAACACTTATTCTATCCCATGAGCATAGCACGTTGTGTCCTTTGTACAAATAGCTCTAATAAAGAATTAATGCAAGAGATTTAAAGGCACCTAATAAAGATTAATTTTTCAAAGATTTTTCAGTGAAAGTGGTTACTCTGATTAAAATTTAAAACAATGGTAGTCAAATTTAGAGTGAACTTGAATTTTAGTGAGAATTAAGTAGACCTGGAAATCAATGTTGGTTTTTTTGGCAGCAAAGTCAATTTTGACTGAATCACTTCCTCCGTTAAATCGAGCAAACGGAAATGATACTTCCGGTATTGGAATTCCTAAAAAGTCCAAAAGCATTTCATCATGCAACTTCTCTAATCTTCTTCAACAGGCTTGAATTCGCACCTTAGGACAAAATTTGCAAGGCATAAGCGATCGTTTCCTTCGACAAACAATTGACTGATATTTGTAACGTCATCAATTGTAATTTCAACATAATCTATTTAAAAGTTGGCGATTAATGGTCTCAAGTGCTCAATTCGATTTTTTACCTTTATTTTTATGACAGGGTTCCACGACCGGTGTATTTCCCACATAACAAACACTATTGTCTATTTTGATGGTTTTGCCAGGTCCATCCGCCGATATGATTATTTCCTGAAGGTACCAACAAATGAAGATCCTGTGTAATCAAGTCAATGCTTACTTTGAGTTCGCCTACAGCAAACACTAAGGACTCCGTTTTCCCAGTTGATGTCGCAACAACTCTTGAACATAAAGAATCTGGCAAATTGGAACCCTCTATTCTACTAGGGGCATTTATTTGTATCAAAACCAAAACAATAAGACTGACAATCATTTTCTCTGAGGTGTGCTTCAACATTTGCTACGCTTTTATATGCCTCCTTCGTGCAATGAAATTGAATCTCTCCACTTTTCTTTCAAATTTTTCACAATTAACTGCCTACATCAAACCTTTCTAATTGGTGCAAGAAGGACTTTGTCATCAAAGCCATGGCACGAAAACAACTTAAGTAGCAAAGGGGACAAAATTAATGTCGAAATAAACAACAAATATCTCCTTTGAGTACTCCACACCCCTACTGGAAGGATTCCAGGCCTGAATTCGGATCAATTCAAGAACACTACAAGGTGATAGGCTACAAATTCATTTCACTTGTTGAACCATTAAAATAAAAGATAAGTATTGTCATCT